TAGGTCATCAAAATCCGGGCTTTACTAATGAGTAATATTTAGTTTCCTTTTATTCCAATTGCATTCCAATTACCAGAAAGAACCACCTTAAAGACCACAATACAAGACGAATGGGAAAAAGGCCGCTAACGGCCCCAGGCTCCCAGATATATTTCAATGATGATATCTAATGAGTAATACCTCGTGGGGAGGTGAGGCAGTCTGCCACTAAAACCTCTTCTTTCTCTGAAATTTGTTTGTTTAATCTCGCTACTTAATTTTAATTTTCACTCAGTAAATGTTACTGAACTCCAACTTTCACCATTCATTTGCGCTTCGGCGATTTATTATTCATTCCCACTCAGATGAATTAGTTAGAGCCCCTGGCGGGACTGATGCTAAGATAAGAGTATGATATGAGTATGAGTATCTAATGAGCACTCAGATGAATTAGTCAGAGCCCCTCGCTGGGCTGATGCTAAGATAAGAGTATGATATGAGTTCTATGTAAGAGGTAGACATAATGTACATATATAGTCTCATTTTTAAATACCAAGACTGATACCGTGCGGGATTCTGTGGTTTCAAAGAACTATAGCTTTGTTCTAAGGATTTTCAAGTAATAAATGGATTACAAGTGATTACTTAAGTTTGCTTATGGATGACTTTTTCTTTCGAGAACTCAGAAGTAAGTCTTTGTAACTGTTCTAACTTTTACATCTGTCTTTAAAATTTTACTACTTTGATGCTGTGCTAGTAATTGTCAATTATTTGGATTTGCTTTAAGAATAATTAATATACCTAGTATAATAACGCACTCTTGGATAATTTAATATTATTCTTTATCTTTTGATAAGATATTAGCTTGTTTAAAGTATTAGTTTTCAAATTGATTATTAATCTATTTATTATCGCTTAATTAAAACCAGATTTATCTTGTTGTGTAAAACTGACTTATCATATTGCTTATTTTCCTTTATGGAAAATAAACTAAAGTTTACGAAACAAGTTTTTAAAATTTAAATAATTGCTATGTTTTATTTATTTTTAATAACATATTAAGTAATTGCAAATTAAATAATTGCTATTTTTTAGTATTAGTAACATTTGATGAATGTGTGATTCCAGACATTGTACATACTTAAACATTGTACTTACTGTTTAAACTTTATCCTTTTTTTCCCCTAATATTTAATTAACTTACTGTTTAAAGCCTAATGTAATTCCCACTCAATGCTAAGAAATATTTATACCATTTGTAGACGTTTGTATATTTTACACACTATGTTAAACTTAGTTACATAATCTTTCCTTTTATATTCAAATTAGTTTTAATCCCAATATTTCAAAAAATATTAAAGATTAATATTTTAATAACGATTAGAGTATCTTAACTTTTAACTAATTTAAGAAGCGAAAACTTACTTGGTTAAACAAAAGTTTCTATATTGAAGGCTTCTTGCGATCAAATTATTTTAATCTGTCACACGAATTCATTTCAATTCAAAGAAACTTCATCTTTTTAATTCAATAAGTCGTTAAATAATAGATTGAAAAATTTCTCAATTTAATTGTGATTATCTTGTCTGCAGGCTTTGTTCCATCTGTGTAATTCCTGGGATAAATAATGGTGACCTACGTATTGGTTAATAGAAATTTTAACTGTAGCAATGTTCCTCAAAATTTAAAATTAGAATAGAAAGATGGTGTAAAGATGGAAAATATCAAAGGGCTGTATAATTTTCAGATTATAAATCTTCTGTACTTTGACATATTTACTAAGGCATAAAAATTAGTAAATCTCTTGCTTATTTATGTTAAATAATTTCGTACTAAAACACAATCAGATTGTTATATATAAATTACTTGTTGAATACATAAATGATTTTGCATACATTGTTGGCTTATTCTAAATTTATGTGTAATCTATTCATGATTTTTAAAACTGTGCAAAGAAATGCGTTGTAAGTTTCTAAGAATAAGTTGTGGAGGCTACTACGTACTTTAAATTTCCTTCGTAGATCAACCATGACATCTAGCTACGAACATAAATCTAAAATTGTGTTGGATCGTTCGGTCATTTTCTGTATAATTTTTCATGACTTCTAAAGTAAAATATATTTTAAAAATTCGAAAACAGTTAAAATGTCATTCAGACTAGAGAATAAATCTGTCAGAAAACTGTAAAATGAACTAAAATCTATAATTTCTCCAATTCTTAGCGGAGATTTTAATTGAACCGCATCAATATGAATCACCGAAATCTTATCATTGTCGTAGAATTAGTCTAATAGTATCGATATTAGTCATAAGTCAGCCAGCTTAATCCTTTCTAAAGCAGGGGTAAATATACTCACCACCAATTTTTAAAGACTTTGTGAACTTTTTTATCACTTTAAATTTAGGTCTCCATTTGTTAATAACTTTCTTCGAGTGCGTTTGAATAAAATTGGCAACCATTTGTTAGTTAATTTATTTCATAAACAAAGAAAAATAAAAGTCAATAAGTTCCTTATATAAGTCGTGGTAAATATGCTTAACACCAAAAAATGGCATTTTTATTAACTAAATGAGTTTGTTTTCTCATATAAACTGTTATTCTTATAAAGACTTCAATTGCAAAAATATTTTAATTTACCTTAGAAATAAATGATCCATTAAGGGATTAAAGTACATTACGTAAAAATATTTGTTGAAAAAGATACGCCATTGTGTACGCAGCATAATTTATTCTTATTTGTTACAGGATCCAAGAAGCTACCTTAAAATTGATGAGTCAGACAGAAAGTTTGGTTATGTAGATTGAAAAATAAATTCCTTTCAGAAGAATACGGTTATCATTATTAAGTAAAGATGGGTAAGTCCAGATTTATTTTGATCTGATCAAGAAATTTTTTTAAGATAAATTTTAACGTATTTACTCTAGCATTTTTATCATAGATTGAATTATAAAATACTTTAGACATTGAACTATTTCATAAAATAAACATATTTAAGGTATCAGACTTGTCGAAAATGGGTAATTTTGACGAAAATTGTTTATTCACGTTTGAACTTTTAATTCATTTGCCTTCCAAAGTCTTTAATTTTTGATCTCCGATATTTAGAAATGATATAGTAATTTTTTCATTCTTACGAATGTAGAAACTGAAGCATTTTTATGCTTTATTTGAGTAAATTAAAGGGTCAAACTTTTAATATTAAGTATATATTAATAGTTTATGTAGGACAAAATTCTCTAATTCATATTTTTGTTTTCTTGCAATTTAAAAGAATTTTATGAACGCTGATTTTTACTCAAGAAGACATGACCAAAATTTTTAAAGTAAGCTTTTATATTTTGCTTTTAGATTTTGTGTAATTTTAGCGATGAATTAAAAGCTAGGATGAAACTGTGCGTGTATGAGTGTTTTTTTTTTATTATCAAGCTTTAAGTATATTAAGTTTTCTTTAAAACTCCAATATTAATGAATATAGTTGTATTTGTCTTTTTGAAATGTAAGACTCAGAGCTCTAACATTAATCTAGAGATTTTGAAATTGATGCATTGCAATTTACCGTAGAGCTGTTAGCATGGCATGAAAAATGCGTAGTTTTTGAACTAGTTTCTTTTTAAAAAAATATTTTGAGCATTCTTAAACTTAAAATTTAATTTCAGGACACTGCTTACTAAATTTAGCTATATAAAATTGTGCAAATCCTTCCACTGTTAGCCCGACCGCAAGGAACTTTTAACTATGATCCATTTACCACTGCGTTAGTATTGAGCCCTACGTTAAATTTTGTCATATCTGAGACTAATTTTTTACCTTTTTAGTTTCTTGGTGGTGAAGGATAATAAATAAAATCTTAACTTAATAAAATCTGCTAATAATGAAAAAGGCTGATTAAATTTAGTTATTCGGCACAAAGCTCTAAAATTTAAACTGTCACAAAAGTTTTGTCAAATGTCTGTCTGCCCCGCTCTCTCAAAAGGAAAAATCGGGCAGTGGTGGATTGCGCTCAGTAATTGCCTAAATTATAACCCACACCCCTAACAGTATGCTGATTGCTCTTCCAGTTGTATTGCTCTTCCATATTGTAATCTGCAGATATTGTTGCAATAAAAAAATTTCTATGTTGGACAGAAATATTTAAATTTATAGTAATATAATTACACATAGTGACAGCAACCTTTGCCATCAAGTTTAAAATCGTTTCAGAAAACTTAACTACTGTTTGCAATTAGTGTGAAATAATGGTGTATTCAAAGATGTTTCACATAAAGTTAAATCTCCCTGTCATAACTATTAAGTTGTATTTGTCAGAAATGCTTTAAATCAAACTTTTAAAATAAGTTCAAATATTAACCCGAAAGTTTAAGATGACACAGACTAGTCAATAATTCACTTATTTCAGCCTTTTTTTTGAAAAAATTTGCCAAAAGTTAGATTTAGTAGTATAATTAAAAAAAAAAAGTATATAAAACAACAGTTATTAATAAGTGTTTCAGAAATTTTCAAGTTAGTGTTATAAAAAATTGATATTTATATTACATATCGATCAATAATCACGTAATAAATACCTCGAATTAAAAAATTAATTATCATTAATTGTTTAA